GTGTGTGTGTGTGTGTGTGTGTGTGTGTGTGTGTGTGTGTGTGTGTGTGTGTGTGTGTGTGTGTGTTGAGGGGGGGGTGGCATGATGTAAAACAAGGCTGTCACATTAGCCAGATGAAACCGAGAATGAAACAAATGTTTGGTTTCACTCAGCTTTTGGCTTTTAACTGACAGAATTGCTTTATTAAATTTTCCCTCTTTTATTTTTTTTAATTTCCTTTAACCATGAGAGGGAGAGAATATATTGCAGCTTATTGTGCAGTAATATAGCTCACCAGATTTTGGCCTCAGTACAAGGGTGTAAAGTAAATAATAAATAAAACTACTTGCTTAATTTTTGGCCTTTGTGCCCACCGACAGGTGGTCGCCCTGGGAGACATACCTGATGGGACTGTTGTCACGGTAATGGCAGGGAACGATGAGAACTACTCTGCCGAGCTGCGGAATGCCTCAGGTGTGATGAAGAACCAGGTTGCGCGTTTCAACGACCTCCGCTTCGTGGGCCGCAGCGGCAGAGGTGAGGCCTGAAACACTGCGCTCCGTCCTCTGTACACTTCTATTAGTCAGAGGGAACTATTAGGTTCAGCGGTGTGGATTAGTGGTCACATTCCCTACGTGGCAACCACATAATGATCTTTCTAAATCCCAGCGCCCGTCTCCTTAGAGTGGCGAGTCATCTTCCTGCCACTCTTTTTGCTTTAAAAGCAGGATCCTTCATCTCGTTTTTTATCTTTTAACCAAGGTGAAACAGACAAGCCTCTGTCTCCTTCTTGGTATCTTTGCCCTCTAGGTTAAGAAACAATACTGTGGACAAAGAAGGGATGTGTGTCTGTCCAGCATCAGCTGCAGAAGAAATTGTTGCTCTGATAACGAGAAACAAGGCTTTTATTCATCCTCTTCATAAAACGTTCACCTGACATGACCCAGTTCAAGTCAGGCTTATAAACATGTTGGGTGGTGCTGCAGCCCTGCAGCTGATCGCTCTGCACATATCCCCAGGCTGTTAGGCAGTGTGGCAGAGGCACACTGCTATTGGGCCAAATGGAATTCCCTGAATATTTGGCATCACCTAAGTTTCTTGTTGCATCGTTCACCATCTTGATGCTTAATCACTTTATGTATGATTTGTAGTTTGGCACCTACGGTGGGCTCTCACTCGCCATTTCCAAACTTTATGGAAATATTTTCTTAGAGACTTTTTGTCTCCTAGAAAACTTTCACCAATAATAAGTTGATGGTGATAAGAGCTGTCAGCAGCCACTGGCTTTTCCTCTCAGTTTCCTGTCAATAGGTCAGCTGGCAGTGGTAGTCAAGAGGGATGAGGGGTGACAAAAGTATAGAGAAGAGATGAGGCATGGTCGCTGGAACGTGTTGCCACAGAGACCTTGCGTGCGTCCCTTTGCTGTGACACAGAATCTAGTCACAGGAAGTGACAAAGGAGCCAGGGGGATCAGGCTACAAGGTGTCTGAAATGAATACCTGGCCACGACGGAGATAAGTACAAACAGAGCAAACTGATAGGATGTTAGATAGCTAAAGGTTGTCTATAAAGAGGAGGGGGGAGCAAACAGAGATGGACAAGGATGGATAGTTACTGGGTTGAAAAAGGTGCCACCTCTTCATGACAGCTTGGATGGATAGGACAGGTGACATAGAGTAATCGGATACTGTTGATAACATCATTAGGCTTAATAGTGTGCTAGTGAACGGGCTTGTTTGACACTAAGCCCAAATTAGATCGCAGGTAGCACATGACAGCAGCGATGATGGGAGGGAGCGCAGGGAGGTGACTCACCGGGTGTCCCACTTTATCGCAGATCACTGGCTCTGCTGTACCCACATGGCCCTCGAACCAGGTATGTGGGACACCTGTTGCATCTGTGTGCTATCTCCCCGAATCATCTCATGGCTGCTGTGAAAGGCATGTTTATAGTGAGCTACAGTGTGGAACGGAAGCGGATGAGGACACACGCGGGTGGACGGCTGCGACTGAGTGGACAGCTGCTCTGATGAGTCGCTGTAGCTACTTGCCCCCCCCCACTTCCCGTTTGCGTCTCGTAGCCTTGGTTACGTGACGTGTCTGCATACCTCATACATTAATGCTGCTGCTGACTTGGCTGCTACGTTCTGATTCATAGCATTCCTCGTGCAAACACACAAGAACGTGCACACTTGCACGGACACACAATTAACCCCAAGGCAGCAACTGCTGGGGATCATCGAGAAAGGAAGTGACTATTAAAATGCCTGTCGCCCACTCACACAGTGTTAGACAGGGAGAAACTCCGGACAACAATATACTGGCCCCTCTGGTTAATATTTCATCTAGGCTCTGCCAAAAAACCTAAATAGAGCCTCTCAAACAGCCAATATTGTCTGTCGTTACTCCTCTCAAAGTCGATTTCCCCCAGTTTGTATTGGCCATTATGTGATCACAACCACACTTGTGACTTAGGGATGGTTTAGCAATGAATGCAAGTCATTGTTTCTGCAGATGGTATGTCATTTGATGTTGTTTGATGTCACCACAGGCAAGAGCTTCATGCTGACAATCACAGTATTCACTAACCCACCACAAGTGGCCACTTACCACCGAGCCATAAAGGTCACCGTGGACGGACCGCGTGAGCCCAGGAGTGAGTACAACTGCACGCTAATACACTATGGGAGTATGCATGATCCATATTTCATCTTTTTAATGTGCCTTGAAAGGGTGGACTCAGAAGAGACAAAAAGCATGTTGAAAATCAAAGCATTTGAATTCCAAATATGCTTGTTTTTATTATCACCTCTGTGGGTCAATCTCCAAAAACACTGCTTCCTACATTCCCCATAATGCATCACAACAACATCTTTAATTAGACCCTTGTTGCCTCATAAATGCTCACTTCAGTCAAGCGCCACACCTCCAGATTTTAATGAAGGCTCAAATTTTAAGTCTCAAGCCCAAGCTGAGATAAACAAGATGACATCATCAGCGTAATTGTGTTTCAATTTTTTTTTAAACTTCCTCCAAAGACCAACTCTTGGTACAGACTTAGTTGTTTTCCTAAACTTGTCCCTTTAACTAAGCTGTGGGTGTGTCTGACTGTGCAGCTAGCCAATGGCAGCACATGCCCAGCTAAAACGATGAGAGTGTAATAAACGGGTTAATTAACAAAATAAACATCTTTTGTAAGAAGTTGTGATTGTGTTAATAAGTAATCAACTTCTATTTAAGTTGAACACTGACCAGTGAAAAAGCGGCTCAGCCTCCCATGTGAAGGTTTGAGAAAAGGAAGAGGAATAAAACGCGCGGCCAAATATTCCCGAGAGGGTACACTGGGTAGCAGAGTGCTAGCATCAGCTCCTTTTAATGGGCCATATAAAAACAACTGAGGAGGAAAAAAAACTTTACTATAACCGTCAGTGCCAACTGGTCTGGCATGCAGCTGTTTCCCAAATCCTCCTCCCTATTCATAAAAAAAAACAAAAAACATATTCATCATACCCGCCCGGCGGCCTCCGTCACATATGGCACCAGGACGCACAGAGACACAGAGGAGCTGGGAGACAGTAGGATTAGTACCACCATCAGTCTCTGTTGTAGGAAACCTGCCCGTGGTGCCAAAAACCGCCTCACACAATAGACATGCAGTGCTCATCAACACGCACCCAGAAACAAAGGCACATGCTTGTCCTCAAACGCACATGTACTCACAATCACACCCACTATTTCCCCTCCATCGCTAGGCGCTCTTGAGCCATGTTGTTTGATCAAAAGCATTTCCTGTGCATCTGCCGTCCCCCTTCAGATGACTTTCAAACAAGTCCTGTTGTTTGGTGGCGAGCAGATGAGTCGGAGGAAGGGTTTGTTTAGAAGAGAGGAGGCTTGTTCTCAATAAAGTTTCAGTCTTTTAATAAAGCCTTGATGGAGGCGTGGATGTAAAGTTTGCGATGTTAGATTGAGACACTAAACTACATATAGGCGGAACTATAGCTGATGGTGTCAGGTGAGGGGAGGAGACTTACCACTTTTATCCTTTGTTCTTCCCTTGTTTTTGCTCAATTTGTGGTCTGGTTGAAAGCTTTAAAGTTAAAGTTTGTATGTTTTAACTTCAGTCTCAGGACAGTAATTTAAGCAATAAAGACTATGTCATCATACGTAACCCCTGAACTTCTTTAGTTCGCCGTTAAGTGGTCAGAATTGCAGCGCCGGTGTAATTTACCCAGAAACTACAGCCAGAACACGTCTCAATCTCAGGGGTCATTAAGACGAGTTCAGAGGGTGGCAAAACACACATGTGCCCTCTCAAGCCCTCCTCCACGTTTCAGCATGGAGGAGGCCTCAGTGCTGAGAGCACCGGCTGTCTCCAGGACTGCGATTCAATCTGTGAACGCTTCATTGACACATGGGGGGCTTTGTCGGCCATTACAGCTCTATTTTGTGTTAAACGAGTGGGTAATTAGGAGGCCTGTGGTACACTGGGCCCCTAAGGGAGAGGTCCACACAGAGAAAGAACAGTAGGCTGTCTTAAAGTTGATATACACTGGCACTCTGTGGCTCTGGCTGTAAAAACACTGTGTTGTTTGGTGGAAATACACTGACAATAACACTAGATTTCAATTTGGGCTACAGATTGGTGTGAAAAGCTGAAATAAATCACCACTCTCTTGTTGAGTGTTTTTCTGACACTTTTGCTCCCTGTTAATGACTCGTGTGGTTGCGGGTGCCTCGTTCAGGAAGGACATTTTGTGTAAATGTGTTTGATAAGCCTTATGGTAGCCATATGAGTCTTCCTAAAGGATGTCATTTTCCCGAGGGGTTCCTCATCTAATATAAGAGAGAGAATAAAGCAGGACCACCCATGAATGAAGGGGGCTCATATCTCTGAATTGTGGCATCAAGCTTTAACTAATTAATCGGGTGGTTAGACTGACGAATATCAGTGAGGCCTAGTTTAAAGATCTGCGGTATGATTTTCCAATGAGTGTGTGTGTGTGCGCGTGCGTGCGTGTGCGAGAATGGTAAGTGGTTAGTCAGGTCCCTCTGGCCACCGTGCTATTAGCAGGAGGCTAACTCGGTTTTTGTGGTTCACATTGTGCTTAATCGCTTGACAGCTCTTGGTTACCCTGTGGTTCGCCACTGCACCAACAACTCAACAAGTGTGTTTGTGGACGTCTGCGTGTGTGTTCATGCATGTAGGCATGTGTGTGTCTGTTTGCTTATGAAGATATCATTGCTGACGCATGTATTTCTGTCGTCCAGTGCCTGCCTCTGCATGTGTGCAGGCCCATAACATTTCAGAGAGAGAGTGTGTGTGTTATTGATGTCATTAGTCTAGTGTCTAGTGCAGCCACACTGCTGATTTGGAGCACAGCTAATAGGCCTCATTAAATGTCATTTTGAGCTAATAGACAGGGAGTGGTTGCTTAAACCAATATGCTTTTATAGGTGGTTCTGTCTCCTTTCAGCTGCTCCTGACGGTGGCTGCAGCCAGCTGAGACAAACTTCCTGAGCGATAATAGCTGAGCTGTATTAACACAATATACAAGGCTTTCTGTCCAAACCCACTGTTCTCATTATAGTTAATTGTTGACAGACAAACATAGGAGGTGACAAAAACCATTATGGCATCACATGTACTGTGTCTTGCTGCAACATATTGCAGTGGTTACTCTGCGTAACTCTGTGTCGTATGTGTGTTGTCTGTCAGTGGTGAAGGTTAGCGGTCAGGCATGGTCTCTGGTGTTTAAAGCTGCTGGGTCTGGGGGGTTCTGGGCTCAGGAGCGGGGTCGTGTTTTGGTTCGGTTTTGGTCAGGGTGTTAACAAGTCTGGTGAAGAGGCCCTGGTTACTCACAGGTCTGCAGACAATATTAGTGGTTCAAGAAACCCTTTTTCCAAGCCAAACTCTTTCAGCAACAGACATACTTATACGTACACAATCACACAATAATTACTTATGCAGATCTCTATACTAGCACATATGTGTACAAAAGTGTTAAAAAAAAGATTAAATACACTAATGTAGTGACATAGGGAAAAATAAAATGAAATGTAAAATTGCACCAGAAAATACCATGGCTAATAGCAGGCAAGAAACTCACTCAGCAAAGGCTCCATCAAGTCTCATAACTTACCTGAACCTTCGAACAGCCAGGAGAACCTTATTAGAGCACCTCAGGCAGTGGACCAGCTCACAAAGTGTTAGAAGTTGACAGATATATTTGGGGGCCTTGACCTAATTTAACCCCAAATGTGATCAGATCAATTCGGTGTGAGACGAGAAGGAACCTTCTTGAATTTACCATTGAAACAGAGAGCTCTAAGATTTTTTGCCACAAGTTTAAGATGTTTTGAGTGACTGCCAAGGTTGTCATGAATGTATATTGCGATTGAAGTTTGGAAAAGTTGATAAGATGGTCTTTAGTTTTTGCTGAAGAAAATGTTCGGATATCTAGCACTTAATCCCAGTAAGGCAGTCAGTGAGAGTGAGAAAATCACTAGTAATTCAAGGAGTTATTGATAAATTCAATCGGGGGTCATCTGTATAAAAATGAAACCTAAAATGAACCATAAGACCTCTCAAATCAGATCTGAATCAAGCCAAAGCCAAAGAGTCCCATCGATTAATATTATATTTGACAATAATGTCCCCACTTTAAGAAAAAACAATAGTGGGTCTAAAACGGAGCCTTACGGTACACCACAAATTAAATAGGCAGAAGAGGATGATGCATGTTTCCACTGCATGCACTCAGACATACACCCACACACCTAAACAACTTTATTGTGGTTGCCAGGCAACGCCCTATTAAAACTCCTAAAATAAGACTGCCATCTCTACTACTGCCAGACAAAAACTAGTATGAGCAAGTGAGATCCTTCCATTAATATGTCTGTCATCACCAAGAGGGCCTTCAAACATTGTCATCACACACAAAGGTTGTTACATGCAACACAATTACCTGCTGTAAGGCCCTTGCTTTATTTCTTACAAAGGACGTTTATGCTCATAACTAAATGCTAAGATCCACACAGATGCTAATTACATTCCACAACAATATTTAGATGATGTCAGATAGCTACAATTTCATTTTCTTGAATAATGTACAGTTGTATGAGTCCCTCTACGTCTGTGGATTACAATGCCTTGTCAGCGACTGCCTCCAGCAATCTGTCCAAAAAATAGAATATACTTTTGTACAGCATCAATAGTAATTAAAGGGGATTTTAGAAGACTCTGTAGTCTTTTGTCCGTCACAGACATACACACACAGACACACACCCACCTATCTGCTGTTGCCTTGCTCAAAGCAGCTTTTAACAATGGGACCCGGACAAATAAAACTCACCCAAACATCAGGAGGAGAAGGAATGAAAAGACGAAGGGAGGGAGGGAGGAGGGGGGAAAAAAAGAAAGAAGAGGAAAAAAAAGACTTCAGGCTTTTCCAGAGGCAGTCAGTCAGTTGAATGTCTCATGAAGTTCCTTGAAGAGGTGCCAAGGCCTCTACAACGCAAAACACAAAATCATTCAGTGGGAGGCAGGGAAGGAGGGAGGAAGAGAGAGAGACGGATGAATAAAGAACGAGGAAGAGAAGCAGAAAGTGAATATGATGCATAATGAATAAAATGTATAAAAAGAGATAAAGGTTAAGACAGGAGTTGGCTCTGATCGACTTCGAGCTCCAACGAAAACATCTCTGAGGGATTTGTTCTCCCGGGTTCTGAATCAAAACACTTAAATGCGAGCGGAGAGGTGCAGAGGGACAATGTCTGAAAACCACACACACAACTCTGTGTGTGTGTGCCCTTTAAACTATGGACAATATGATACAAATGTGTGAATATAAAGTGTTTTTTCTTTCAATAAAAATATCACCTTTGAGAATAGCTGTGTGTGAGCGTGTGTGTGTGTGGGTGTTTGTGTGTGTGCGCGCCCTTCCCTCGCCTGGCTTGCTTCCTCCAGGCTGGAACGCATGGACCACACAGACGGCTGGCAGAGCTCCACGACAGCCTGGCTCCCTCTTTCTCCTTCTCTCCTTCGCTTGCTGCCTCATCTCCCAAACCTCCTCTCCCATCTCTCTCTCTTTCACGTCTTTTTTCCATTCCTGTTTCTATTATTCCCCCCCCCCTCTCCTCTCTCTTACCAGACCCCCATGGTAGACGGCCGTCTGGCTGTCACCAACTCATGCCCTTTTCCTCCCGAGCCAGCCTCTGCCAGCTTCAGATTGCCACCTGAAATAATTCATTGTTTCTGAACGCTCGCAAAAAACAACATGACCACTGTGAGGGCTCCTGAATAAAAAAGTGAAATATGGACCCAGTGCATTCATTCATCGACTTTACTGGCTGCTCTGCCGTTAGATGACTGACACACACACGCATACAAACACAGACTAGCTGATTCAACTCAGGTTCCATGAGCACAGGGGTTTTTCTGAATCAGCCCCAAAGATACACTCATTTGAGCTCACCCGGTGATCATAAACCAGCCTGAAGGGCTTCGAGGGCATGACGTGACACCAAATTTATAAATTATCCCATTTATACAGGATTTTCTGGCACTCCGCTTTTTCCTCACGTGTTACTTAGTCAGGCAACAGGCAGGAGAATTTCCCATTGACGTGTCTGCGACGTTAGCTGAAACTTGATGTGTCGACGGGGGGGAGGCGGTACTTAAAAGAAGTAGGTCGACATTGTGGAAACATCTTCTTGGAGAATGTACAGTAAATATGAAGCTGTATCTCTGAGATGTTAAAGAAGGGAAACAGCTTGTCTGGCTCTGACTAAAAGGAACTAAATCCTCCTAAAACCACCTCTAAACCTCACTAATCAACACATTGTGTATGTTTGTTTAATCTGCACATAAAATGAATTTTATTATCTTTAGGCAAAGCCAGGGGAGCTGTTTCCCCCCTGCAGCATCTTCATATTTTTCTAATCTTCTCATCTAACACATGGCAAGAGAGTTAATTTGCATAACAGTTCTTTTAGATGTTTTAGCCCTTGGGACTAGTTACCCTTGTCATATAAGATCCCAAACACAAGCCGTCCTATTGATTAAGATACTGGGTTGTTTGACGAATATTTTGAGCTAGGCCATACGAAGGAGCCATTAACCATCCATCAAAGACGTATGCACTCAGGCACAGATCCACTTTAATGCTGCCATTAATTGCACAGGACTTATAGACTGTTTGCCTACTTGCTTTTACTAACTGTTATCAGATCAGCAGGGCTGAGTTGAATCCAGACATATGTGTCTTGGACAGCTGAAATAATACTGTTCCAGGATCAGTGAGCAACTCTGTGATTACAGATACCATCGACAGAGGTGTTATCTAATCATGGTTAATCTTTTATAAGTGAGTGTGTGTGTGGGTGTGTGCGCACATGTATATGCACCATCCATATGTGCAAATGTGCATGATTGCATGTGCAGACTTGTGTTTGCATCCATTCATGGGTGTGTGTGTGTGTGTGCTCACATCTGGTCTGAATCTGTCCATGTTTCCGGCCGCTGCCTGGGCAGGGAAGTGGCAGGCGCTATCAAAAATCTCCGCTGTTTTCACAGGGATGATGGGAATCTCAGGGACTTTCCCTACGGCAGTGAAATCATCCGCCTTTTCCCGCTCCTTTAAATACCCCCGGCTCGTTCCTCCACCCTGCTAAGGTTCCGATAAAACAGCTGAGACGTCTTGTGTTTGGCAACAGTTGTCATTTAAAAGGTGTAATTAAGCCATGAAAAACTGTATTTACTGTCAGGGCCTGCTAAACTAATGGATTTGAGGTCGAGCTGTTTGCAGGGTAAAGTGGTCCTTAATGTGGTGGTTGACGTGTTGCATTCCCAAAGGAGAAAAAACATGGTTGCATCCATAGGTGTGTTTGAAGGAGTGATCGTCCGGGTGGAAGCTGAGAGTTAATGACACTGTGACGTGAAATTTGACTTGATGTGGGCATCAGAATCGTCCTCATCTTTTTAAATATACAGGTTAATATCTGTCTGTATTTCGGGATCTTCCTCCAACGCTCTCTAACTGCTTCACCAGTCGCTGTTCTCTGTGCTCAGCACTCTTCACAGAGCCGGTCTCCTGACCCATCCAGAGCTCTTAATTTACTGGTCATCAGGGTCTCTTCCTCTCCATGTGCCTCTCCTCCCCCCCTTGTGTCCGTCTCCCCTCATCTCCCCTCGGCCTCCCATCGCTATTTATTCCCATCACTAGGAGACGGCCCGCGCACAAAGCCCACACTGTGTCCAGAGGCTTTTTTAGAATAGAAATTCGGTCTGTTGAAAATGGAAATGCTATGATTGACTGGGCACAGCTTGCGCGGAGAGATGATAAATGCCAGCGAGAGGCACAAATTATCTTCAGTAAGGATGAAGAAATATTATTAATGAAATATGGACATGAATTTAGTTTTAAAGTCCTCAATGAGCAGAGGTTTTCAAGTAGCCGATATTATTCTAGGTTCCAAAGCGACTATGTTAAGGAGCAGATGATGAGATGGCCTGTTTATTTTCAACTGGATGATGCCAATCCAGTAACGTCATCGCAATAAAAAATCATGGTCTGTCACCGGCTGATTTCTCACTGCCGCCACTCTCATGTCTCATTTCACAGCAGCGGTATTTGCTATTAAAATTCCAAACATTTGTTCCAGAATAAATTGAGTTGTTGTGAAGAGTCATATGGTTTATAAAAGCATTTCTGAGGCTGAAATGTTGCAGTAGTGGAAAGATTGCTATGCCTAAGACGATGAGGCGGTTTTTAAAGGACTTTTTTCTGTTTATAACCCAAAATAACCTCAAGGAGATTATGTTTTCATTAGCGTTTACTTGTTTGTTTTTTAAGCAGGATACGCAAAAACTATGGAGAGGATCATTAGGGGAATACAGGATTTTTTCCCACTTTATTTAACATTGTTGAATTGGGCGTTTTTCAATATATTCATTGATTTATCAGAGAATAACTCATGGATTTTGATGAAAAAAACCATACATGTTTAGGGGACTGATATTGATTGTGTAAAATTTGATACAAATAAAAATCCAGATCTAATGAATTTAAATGTGGTTTCAGCAGGGGACTGTTGGGCCTTGGGGGAGTAATGTACTTTTTAGTTTTTATTTGACAGTGAAAGTGACAGAAAATATGCAGAACAGAGAGGGAGGCATCTAACATAGCTCCTCAGCTGGGAATGGGGGTTATTAGTACACATGTTAAACTATTAGCCCACTAGGTCCTCCACTGCTTTCTGTGGTCTTTGTTATGATGCTTCAGTAAAGCAAATGATTTCTCCTCTCCCTTTTCCTTTCCGTCTCCCGCTCCGTTTATAACACCTACCCTTGCTCAATAGGTGTAGTGCCAGGCCTTTGTTCCCAGCCCAGACAGGTTGAGCAGGATTCTGAAGAAGCTCGTTGTTTCTGCCCGAGCCAGCTGGAGCTGTGCCAGACACATCAGGAGTTTCTGCTCTACCTCTGTTTGATATTTACTTTAGCACCTTTACAGAGAAACCAGTGCGAGACCAGACAGACACACTGACACAGTCACTGCGTGTGTGCACAGGCCTCTGTGTTCACTCCACCTTTGTAAAACTACAGTCTACACCTGGGCCCATGGGCAGGATTCGCAGTGGTTCCCATTATAGGGCCGACAAGGCTGCACTCTCTGTTTTTGTAATGTGCATTTACTGTAATCGAGTTATGGCCCTGAAAGACTGATTAGAATGGGCTCAGGGATGTAAAGGGTGTAAAATGATCAGCAGAGGAATGCAGGAAAAGAACGAGTATAATAGATCTGGCATAGGTTACGGCTCCTGTGGGGATAATGGGGGAATGGCGTGAGAGCTTGTGTTTACCTGAGGAAGAACCCTCAGGTTAAAACTTAAACGTACATGCAACTTCTCCCTCTTGGGATCCCTCACTATTAACTCTCTCTTTTTCCCTCATACAAGATGATATTAGATTAAAGTCTTTGTTAATTGTGTTAATTAGGAGGATGTAGCATCCCACTCCCAAAAGCGGGTCTTTGTTGAGCTGCACAGACTGTTTACAAAGTGAGGTAGGGCAACCACCACAGGACCTGAGTCATTAAAAGCACATCAGAAAGTATAACTGACGAGCTGTTTGCCAAGACATCTGACAAACTGAGATCATTAATCACGCAGAGTAGAGTGTCATCAGTGAGATAAATTATGTTTTGCATGCAACTTCACAGAAGTAATAACAATGTAAAAACTGATGTCTAATAAATCTAATAACACCTTGTGTTTTTATTACAGCCCAGCACCCATCTGTGACTTTCTCCTCTAATGGATAACTTGTTTTTTGTGTCTGCAGGGCATCGTCAAAAGCTGGAGGACCCTCCCAAGGCGGGCCTCTTCTCTGACCGCCTCAGCGAGCTGGAAAGGATGAGGGTGAGGGTCACTGTGCCTACGCAGGCCCCTCGGCCAACTCTCAACACAGGGGCCAACTCCTTCAACCCGCAGGGTCAGACGCAGATAACAGGTGAGCGCGCCAACGTCAACTTTAACCACATGCTCAAACAGGACTGGGTTCAGAAACCATTACAGCAAACATCCACACTGTTCAGTCTACTTGCTCATTGTTCTGTGAACTCTGACCTCTGAGATTATGTGGTTAGGGGTCAACTCTGATTCTAGTGTCTTGTGTAATTGAAATAAGCTACATACATAATCTTTTTGTTGCACAACCTTTGTAGATGGTCAGGATTTGAAATGGGTCTACATTCTGTTTGTATTTAAGAATAAGTAGGGCTAGAGAGTATTTTTTTACATTTTACAGTTTTTCACTATTGCATCCATCTGATAAGAATTTATTTACATTTATTTACATTTTCAATAAGAATCCGGAACATCTACGATTTGCTCCACAGTTTTCGAAGTACTGACTACATTTACATGGACACCAATATTCCAACTACTGACCTTTTGATTATGCTGTTTACATGAGTTGCTGATAGAATATGCTATTTGTAATTCACAGTCCAGTAATGACTCAAATCATTACAACCTCTATATGATTACCTCGACATTATTCCAACAGTTAAAAAATCTAACCTGAAAAACTTTAATGTAATTTCTTTATAATCCTGCAGAAGATACAACTCATTTTTATTTTTCGATCTTGTTTACACCCAGGGTGTGTGTGGTCATGCAGTTGTTAACTGTCATATGTTGATGTCACAGAAATACTCCAGTAGGACATTAAAATGGGATAAAGACGTATACATGTCGACATAATTCAGACAAAGGTCAGAATATTCAGGTTAATGTAATCAGAAAATGCTGTTTATTCAGGTTATTCTTTTCATCTGGTTAATATTGGAATATTGGTGTCAAATGTCGTCTGTGTCCCAAAGGGTTTCACTGAATAATCAAGCAGGTTGAGTCACAAGCTGAGTCACAATCAAAAGCGTTTGCTGTATGGGAGGTGAAATATCAAACCCCAGCTGGAGCCATCGGGTACATCCCAGCGGTTTCTGCCACAGAAACGCCCACCGCAGCACGTTACATCGCCTCTAAGACCGACTGTCTTTCTCGACTCCATCACTCACTCTATCAATTACAGCCTTGAAGGTAACACCATCTGCCGCGGCTCAGGACGTCACCCGATCGCCCGCACTTCTGCAGGCTCGTCACAGGTCATCATTTAGTCTCTTAGTTACTCTCCGGCGTGGCTTTGTAGTGTTACTTAGCGGATCATTTGCGGGATGGTTAAGCAGCTTAGCAGTGGTGAGTGGAGAGTATCATACACTGGATTGCGCAGTAATTCCATGTGAGTCAACTGTTTTTCAAGTTAAGATATTCTGAGGGGAAACTTTAGATCCAAGAGCAGATTTATGGATTAGAGGAGGGATTCCCAACATTTTTTTGTCAGATTTATGGCCACAGCTCCGTCTCATTTACACCTTCATGGAGTGGCAGATTCTGGATGTTCAACAATGATCAATAACTCTATTTTTAAATTTCATTTAAATAACTTTTCTGCTTTTTATTCATTATATTTAGCTATTTCAACTG